CCACTTAAAAGGGAAAAGTACATATTTTTATGACTATTTCCAAAAAAAATTCCAACAAAATTCATTGTCATATGCGAATAGACCAGTTTGGTCTTTATTATTTTGATCTCGTCAATAATACTTTTAATATTTTACTCCTTTTATGGAAAATTACTTTTTTGTCCAACATTATTAAACACATACTCCCACTCAAAGGGCAATATGGCTATTTTATTTTAGAAAAAATTAAAAAAATAGATGTAATTGAGCACACGAGCCAATCTTTGAGGGATGTCAAAGTAATAAACTTCAAATGTTCTACTGTGTATAATTTGACAAAATTTTCATAAAAAAAAAAAATCATATGCAATTAACATAACCGCTTACGTCTTTACAAAAAAAATAAATAAATAATTTCATTTATGTTTCATATAATTAATATATTTTTATGAACGATTTAAATCTTCACAAATTTTTTTGTGTACCTTCTTGTCATTTTTTATTAAAAAAAGTTAATTGGAGTGCAAGTCCGAAAAAGGGAAGATATAGTTTTTCAAAAGAAAAAGGTATTAATTAATCACTTCTCCATCTACACATATTTTGAAATTATCTGTTTTTGCATTTTTAATGTGAGGGTGGTAAATAGATCTGGATTCGAGTGACCGAGAATATCAATCAGAGAATATAAATCACAAAGATCTTATCCCGCGGATTATAATAAAACTCTTCTAATAAATTACACAACAACAATTATACTTTTTTATCCTTCAAAAAATTACTCAACAATTTATTATCACAGTTCTCTGCATACGAATTAAAGGGAAAATTCTAATTTAGTTGAAGAAGATACATTATTAATTTGGCTAAATAATAAAACAAAACCATACATTATAATACGCTCACATCTTAATAAATGGATGTTATATGTTTTTTTCCTTGCAAATCATTAACATGCCAATCAGCTGCTTTATTTATTTTGCTGACGATACTTCTATGGATAATTAGCCTGTCCGATCATTGAGGGCCTTGAGGCGCTGCCAGAGTGTCGAGGAGTGTGTAAACCTGCAGCAGTTTGTACTCCGCCGTCTGCAAAACTCATATAACAAAATGAATACGAGTGTGTGTGTGTGTGTGTGTGTGAGAGAGAGAGAGAGAGAGATAGAGAGAGAGAGTACTTACCGGGTTGGTCGTCGGCTTTGGAAACAGATGAAACCATGATAATCCAAATCATGAACAAACAGCATATGATGATGATAGCATTAGAGGTCGAAGAAGCTTTGCTTGTCATTTTAATTTGTTTCTTCTCCAATGAATAACTTAACAAAGGAAGCTGTAGTATTATACTATGTTTAAGCACGATATAGATATATATAATTTAAAGTATATTCAAACCCACTTTACAGTCATATTAACAATAATCGAAAATTTGACTCTTGCAATTAGGGAAGTGGAAGGCCTAGTCATTCCTTTGGAAGTGGACGACTCAGACCTTTCATTATTTATTTAATATTTTTTTTCCTACACGCTGAAAGTTCTCCATTGACTCGATAATTATAAAGGAATAGAAAGGCTTTCTGTACGTAGCATAATTGTCTCTGTTCGTGATACTCATGGCAGTAATATAGAGAGATCTCCTCTATGATTAATTATAGGGATCTTCTCTAAAGTGTGAGAAATTATTAGTACTTTTCATAAAAATAAAATTAATTTATACAAACTTTCTTTTTGTATGACGGACTGTCAAATGCACTAATAAATCTGTCTAATTTACTTAAATGCCTTTAAGTTATGAATGAACTATTATGTTATAAAATGGTAAGAATAAAGGCATTATAGATAGTTTAATTAATTAAGTACATGACATCAGTAAAATTCGTAATTTATTAGTTTTGACTTTCACAAAAAAAAAGGTCCGTATAAATTAGTTTCATTTTAGAAGAGATTTAAGTAATTTTTTAAATCATAAAAGAGTTCTTTATAATTATTATAAAATATATGGGAAATTTGTTTAATTTACCCAAACATAATTCATTTAGTGTTTTGTTTTTTTCTTTCCTTTTTTTTAAACCAAAATAAATAAACAAATAGTTTGATCAGCCCTAGTTGTCAAAGGAAATACTACCTCTTTAATCGTTGCTTTATAGGGATGTGATTCACAGTCCAAAGACAGTAATTAAAGTGATTGTGAGTCACATTTTCTAAAAGCAATAATTAAAGTTGACCGAAGTATAAGAAATTCTGAAAAAGCTAACCTTTGGAAAATGTGCCCAACAACTCACTCATTGAAGCAGCTCAATCTCTACTCAATTGTGGCTGCTGATGCGCACACCAGCCCATCTCTCGGAGACATGACGCATAACAACTTGGAAATTGAGACAATCACTTTGTTGGAAGAGGGGGGACAATATATGTGAGAGATTTTCTGAAGATGAGATTAGGGTTTCAAATAAAGGTTAGGAACTCAAGATCCTCTCCTTCGAAAATGGCTTGGATGTTTAGTGTGTTCATCATGCTTGGGACTTATCGATGTTCGTTATTTATTTACCGCCATAGCCATACCCTTCGATCATCTAATTGTTGTGCACAATCAATTGGTAAATAGAATAGATAAAATCACACACACAACCAAAATAAAATTTATTTGATTTAGCAAATTACCTACATTATTTCTCTCTAGCTAATCTCTCACACCCATCCCTATACTTTTTCTCTTTATAAAACACAACTTCTTTTCCAAATCCTCCTGACTTTTTTTCCCACACGTCTTTAGGCTTCCGAAATGGACTAGGAAACTATTTCTTGCACATGCCAACCGTATTGGACCGGTCCAACTCTTTTCAGAAAACATCCTGTGCCAGTATTTCAAGCCACAAAACCCGACACTAATCTTTTTGCCTCTCCATGTGGATTTGCAAGATGTTGTTGGGCCTGCTTCTCTCTTCTATTCTTGTTTTTGGGCTTAGCTTTATGTCTAGACATGGATGGGCTTTGCCTTGGTTGGGTTAGTTGTCGAATTATTGTAATGGTCCTGCTGCTCCATCTCTTAAGGAGGAGGCCCATCTCCCTCTTTATTTATTTATTTATTTATTTTGGTTTCAGTTTTTCACACACATATAAAATTGCTTAACCTTTCGAAAGGAGAAGAAAATTTTAAAAATTTTCTCGCAATCGCTAATTGAGTTAGCCAATATTGGTCCTTTTGGGCTTGTTAATATTACTATGTATCTGTGTGGGTTTTTCCATAGTTGCTGACTCGCTTGTTAGTCTCATTTGTTCGTGGGCTTATTCATACTGTAAATACTCACTTATCAATACAAATTGTCTGAAGGTAAAAATAAATAAATAAATGAGTTAATTTCACTTACACTTTCTTAAGTTTGATCAAATATTAACTTGAAACAACTTTCGAAAATTACTATCATTGTTACAAAGTTTGTTCCCAACTGTTATCTTTAAACATCTTACACCATATAAAATGACTTAAATAACTTTTGACTTTGTCAAAAAAAAACTTTAACATAAAGAAGTATACTTAAAAGACTAAACTATCCCTAAATGTTTTGTAAATTTATAATTTTATATATATTTTTAATGAATTCTATGTATAACGCTTCCTTCCAGAATCATACATCCTGAGTAATATATATATATGAATATTATTTAGTGTGTGTGTGTATATATATATATTAATATTTGAGGTAACTCAGGAGGTGCCATCCGGGTATAGTTGACCCGTGCTAACTCAGGATGTATGATTCTGGAAGGAAGCGTTATACATAGAATTCATTTTAACATATGAGCAAATTGAAAGTAATCTATCTTTCCAAACAGAACAATTAAAAAATATTAAAAATAAAGATTTGATTTGATTTGACATGTTATCTCCAAATACTAGTGGCTTTTGCTAGCTCTTTCTTGCCTCCGTAAAAAATTGGCAGATTAGCTTATATGCAACATTCAAAAGGAAAAACATTAAATATTATTAACACGCACAAATTTTATATCAACCTTAATATTGAAAAAAAAAAAAAAAATTAAACAAATTAAACAAACAATTAAAATGAATTCAAAGGGAAAATAATGCATTATCTTGGAGAGGTTTACCCTCCAATTCCGACATCACTGAAAAAGGTCCCCTGGACTCCAATGAACCATTATTTTTTAGTTCTTGAATTCCTCCGCTGCTTCTTGGACAGTCTCCGTTTTGCCTCCATTCTTCTCCAACCCCCCCTTCCTACAATCATCTTGGATTTCCGCGGGAAAGGAATAAGGCTTCCTAAGAGTGGGATAGGATGTAGGTGATGGGTAATTTCGTCCTTATAGGTTTTAAATAAAAGGCATTTAAAAATAAGGGTAAAAATGTCATTCTATACTCATTTTAACGATGCTAATAATGAAAAAGTGAGTTGGGATGTGAGTGATAGTATTTTTCGAAAGATGTTTCAAAATAATATTTGGTCAAACCTGAAAACGTGTCAATAAAATTAACCCTAAATAAATAAATAAATTTTATGGGATTGTGAGACCGAAGATTGTGGCGATAGGTATTTATTGAATTATTCTATTCAAATTGATTTTGGGAGAACTTTATAATTGATTCAGGGTTGGGTGAAACTGTAATTCATTCTTAATTCTAAAGAATGATCAAGCACAAGTTTAAGCAAATTCAAATTGTAACCGTTGAAGGAGTTTGAATTTAGGACCGACTGAAGGGAATTTTCACCCAAACCCTCATTTGTATACATGTTTTATTTGAAAGCTCTTTCTTTTTCCCAGGAAATTCATATGTTATACCCACACACACACATTGTTGATGATGTGTACTCTTAGAGCACACATGCAGGCTTCTTGTCTCACATGCACTCAAGTTGTTCGTAGGAGATTGAACTCCCAATCTGTAAAATGTTAAAAAATAAAAAATAAACAAATAGGACCAGTAATAATTAATAGATGATTATTTGCAAATTTAAGGAAAGAAAATTAGGACAACCATTTTGGTGAAAGCTTAAACCCACTGGACGTACATAAAAAGAGCATACATTTCAAAATTCAAAGAGAAACACAATCAACTTAAAAAATAACACAACACAACACATCCCACCATACTACTAATAGCTACAACCACAAATACTAGCTAGAACCATGGACTAGCTAATATAAAAACCAACACTAAAGCAATAGAAAGTTGAGATATCATCAAAATAATCTAAGGTAGACAACCACCACCAACTCCACCGCCAACACCACCAACCCCGCCAATTCCACCACCTTTGCCGCCAACACCACCAATTCCACCACCGACCCCTCCAAGCCCTCCAGCACCACCGACTCCACCTCCACCACCGAGCCCTCCAAGCCCACCAACACCACCGAGTCCACTTCCACCACCGAGACCGCCAATACCACCTAGCGGCAGAACCCCAGCGTAGCCACCAACTCCGCCAATTGCGCCAACGCCACCGAACGTGACGAAGTTCTTCTGGTCATCTAGGCCAGCACCAGTAGGTGCAGTGGCCGTATGAACATTTTGTGTGCTCTTTTGGTCATGATCAATAGGTGGCATGGTGGTAGTAGTAGTAGTAGGCACATTCCTTGCAGTGACATGCACAAGCAGTACTTGTGCGAGCACAAATATTACGTACAACTTTGCTGCCATCCCCTTCTCTCTCTCTCTCTAACTCTCTCTCTCTCTCTCTAAAAGTGAGGGCTTTCTGCTCAATTCACTCTAGTTTTCGTATGACATGCTCTATTTATGGACCGTTTATGGACTGTGTGAAGGGTTGGGGACAGTTATGTGTATTAAAGGGGCATTGTAAATGTGGCATTAACTCTCTTCATGCTTCAACAATCTCGAGAAAAGCATTGTTTCTGGTTTTGGGTCAGAGTTAGGTGAATGAAAAGAATAGATATAATTAAGGAATTCATATCTATCAAGCACGCTATTCAAGAATAGAGGCCATGCAAAGTGAATGCGTAATATTGGACTGTCCCGTGACTAGCGTGCTTGTCCAAATTGAACTCCTATGTTACACAATTTCAATATATATTTCTCAGTTTGGTCCATGGCGTATATTATTGCAGTACAATTGTAAATCTTTTCGAGGACAAAAGGAAAAGGGTAAGGTTGTCAAGAGGTGTATAGTTGTCCACAAATTTTTCTTTGAATTAGCATCATATGTAGCATGTTTTGAGTACAAAAAAATCATACACGGATAAAATCGTTGCTTGTCTTAAAATGGTTTTGTCATTACAAAATAGTGTCAAAATATCTTAAATATAATAGGAGATAATAAATGAACGAGTTTTAGTTTTATTTTTATTTTTTTTATTGGTAAGTAAATCTTTATTAAAGGGAAAAGGACACTATACAAGAGGGGCCAAAGCCCAAAAGGAAGACTAGGCATCATGGTGCTGCGGATGCACGAGCTAGGAAGGTTCCACTTATAGGGCTGCAAATATAAGTGGCCCAATTCGCAATGGAAATAAGTCAAAAACCTTTGCAGAGAGCGATAGGGGGTTCAATGAGAGAGCGTGAAGATTGGTCATTCATGTGAGTGTGGATGGGTGTGTTTGATGGTGTCTAAAGGTTTGGGTGTGTTTTAAGTATTTGAGTGTGTTTGTCCCGTGAATACACCATAATATTGTTATTTATGACATTAAGGGTAATTTTAATATTTTGCCTTCTTTTTTTTTTCTTTTTTTTTTTTTCTTTTTTTTTTTGTTAATGCTAAAGTAAAGTTTATTTAATAATTTTATCACTAAAATTATGATTTGTCTTTATTTGTATAAATTAGAAACAAGAAGGAAGTTTTTAGAACAATAGAGAGATAATTGCACATTTTGTATATTATGACGGTTTTTTTTTGCACTTAACTTTATATATATATATATATATATATATATATATATTACTTATGACAGAGAGAAAATCACATAGGGATCAAAAAATAAAACTCACATAGGGATCAAAAAATAAAACGCACTAACTGACAAATGAAATTACTCCTTCTGTTTCAAAAAGAGTGTTTGGAAAACTATGAAGTGAGTTACAGTTCTCGAAGAGCCCTTGAAGGCTTTGAATCCTCCTCCAAAGTTAAATTTCATAGTTATCTGCCATTTCAAATCATAAACCATGTTTGATTGAGAGTGTGATCTTAAATTTGAACCCTTTAAACCAGGGATGGAGCCAGGGGCAGGCGAGGGGGGCCTGGTCATGCAAGAAATTTAGTATTTTTTCAATTAGTATAGGTTCAAAAACAATTTAATATAACTTGTGAAAGGTGACGAGTACCTTTGGTCTCGCAAGAAATTTTTTAGTTTATTATATATATATAATTTATTATATCATTTTTTTCGCTTTTTTGAACCTCTTGTTCCTTGCGTCAATGATTTTTGTTTGTTTGTTTGTTTGTTTGTTTATATTATATATTATTTTATATAATGCTTTGACCAATTTTTTTTTTTTTTGTTTTTTTGTTTCCTTCGTGTACCCCCCACCTTCTCTTTTTCTTGAAATATAGCTCAATTTTGCTTTCTTTTTTTTTTTTTCTTTTTTTTTTTTATTGCGCAGAATAAGAATGATTATCTCCCTCAATCCATCACATTCTCTCTTATCTGAGTTCTCTCACGTTCCCCCCCGGCTTCGCCCCTGCTTTAAACCTTGTGTCATTCAACCTTCAGCACAATGGGGACGATAATAATGAAAATCCTAATAAACATAACTCCGTGATTTCCAAACCCCACAATCACACGACCCTGGCTTCGCCCCTGCTTTAAACCTTGTGTCATTCAACCTTCAGCACAATGGGGACGATAATAATGAAAATCCTAATAAACATAACTCCGTGATTTCCAAACCCCACAATCACACGACCCTGGCTTTGCCCCTGCTTTAAACCTTGTGTCATTTAACCTTCAGCACAATGGGAACGATAATAATGAAAATCCTAATAAACATAACTCCGTGATTTCCAATATCTGTAAAACTTTTATACTTAAAAATACAAATTAATTGCTATGAAATATTATATAGAGGAGTAGTTACCAAATTGGAGATGCCATCCCGAGGTATGGGTCCCACAGTGGGAACACATGATTAAACGGCCGAGATTACACCGCAGACACAACATGCATGCATTCTAAGAGTATCCCAGTGCAATGATTGTTTTACATTCTCCACTTTGCAAAGTATAATGTTACCTTAACAATTGTGTTGATGTGACTACATATTTTTTTTAAGATTGTAAAAGGCCATTATACACCATTATTTACATTCTAGTCTTATTGTATACGATCACTTTTACTATTACACCACAACACAATATAACTTTTTCATTTTATATATACAATACCCCACCTTTTTGCATCTGTCAGGCGCTAGTTCTACACATTGGAGTAGCAAGTGTAGAATGTACGGTGGGGACCGCAAGCATACAATAAGCATAGGAGAAGCATTGGGTCGCTACAGGGTTAGATATTATACATATAGAGCATGCACTGGGATGCTCTAAGAAGTAATCACGCCACATTTATATTTAAGGATAATATATATATATATATATATATATATATATATATATTTCAATATAACATTTTATGATATCATATTTTGATGAATGAATTTATATGTAAAGATAAAAAAAATTCAAAAACAATGATTTATTATTTTTCAATTATGAATAAACAATGTAAATATCAACATCAAGATTACTTTTTTTAAAAAAAAAAAAGGATAACAACAAAAAAAATATTTTTTAAAAATTTTCTATATAATCTCGTTGTTTGTGAATTTTGAGGAAGAGCTAGAGTGAAATGTTGTGAACATTGTTGTTTAAAATATATAATATAATATATATGGTATGTAATAATGGGAGGGAGACATAGATAGGATACAGATCATTAAAGTGAAAGTGAAGAATGAAAATTACATGTGTGAAGACGGTAAATGTGTCATGTTTTAGTGTGGTAAGAAAAGTGCGCGAACGGTGAGGGTGTGTTTTATGAATAGTTGAAAATAGTGTGTGAATGGTCCCCATGCATTTGTGAAAGAAAAGTATCCACAGAGAGAGGGGTATCCCTGCAAAAGTTTTACAAATAATAATAACAAAAATAAATAAAAATCAAAAGTGGTGAAATGAATACAGATGCAATCTTAACCAAAACGTATTCACCTTATCTTCAAATAAAGAAGTGATTAAGAAATTTATAATTCCTTTGGTTAGGGTTTTGCACGTCAAAGTTAAGTGAATAGCTATTAATCATTAGGGGTGGGCAAATAATCCATGAATTCACGAATTTAGTTCGATTGCTATACTCTCGGATCGATGGCGAATTCAAAAAAATTAAATCTGTAGCTCACGGATTAGACTGTTAAAAATTTGATCATAATATATATATATATATATATATATATATATATATATATTCAAATAATGTATTAGTAAATTTAATTAGTTGATAATTCATTTAATGGACTCTAAGAATGTATTAGTTATTGATCATTTAAATATATGAATTAATGGTTATAAATTGAAATTTTATCTATTGGGTTTTGGTTAAAAAATAAATAATATTAGACTATTTAGGAAAAACTCCAATCCGCATATCCGATCCGATCAGTAGGATAATGGATCGATAAAAGATTCTGATTTTTTTCAATCCGTTGAAAACGGATCCAATTAGAATTGATGCCTAATTCGATCAGTAGCCACCCCTATCAATCATGATTGAATGATACTATAAACAATCTAATTTAACTTTATTATATATATAGGAAGGCTCTCATGCAATCCAAAAGAACGGATTTTTCAGCAGACCAATAGTCAAGTAGTCAATTACACGTTATTACTTTATCCGACATAACTATAGTTAATATTTGTTACCTTAATAGTCAATTTACCATAGTCAGCCAATACCTATATTCAATAATGGAAACAATAAAAGGTCTCCAAATTTGGGTTTCCTGAGACAGAAATAAGAAAAATCTCCAAATATTGATTCTTGCAATTTGCTTGTTTTCGTTTACATTCCTATTTACGTTTTCACGTATTACAATTTCCTTCAAATTTTATGCACAAATACAAACTAAATATCCAATCTCATCATCCCAATTTTGGAAATAGTTTATGGTATCAAAAAATCAAAATTCAAAATTTTAAAATATCTCAAAAACTATTTCTATTACTCAACTTCTTTCTTACTTTTTTCGGTAGTTGAAAATAATCATGCAGAAACATTTTGGCGAAGCCATGTCAAGTGCACATAAGAAAAGAGAAATTGAATAAAGGAATTGGTTGAAATTACAAGAAAGATGGAAGAAATGGCGGTAGTGGTTGAGATTGTAAAGAAGATGGAAGAGATTAAGGAAGAAAGAAGATGGAAGAGATTAAGGAAGAAAGAGATTGAATAAATGTATTGGCTGACTATGGTAAATGGACTATTAAGGTAATAAATATTAACTGTGGTTAGGTCTAATAAAGTAATAACGTATAATTAACTATTTAACTATTGGTCACAGTCGCAATTAGGACTAATTAGTTTTAAATGCATTAATTACTTTGAGTTTCTATTTTTATAGGACTCTACTAATATTACTTTTTAGACAAAAATACTCTTTAAAATTATGTATTTTTTCTTATCTCTTCTTTTAATCGTCATATGGAGATGTGTGCGTATATAAATATATATAATAATAACTAATGTGATGT